CTGTTCAACCATAGTCAGCTGTAACATTTCTTAGCAGATTCCACTTCAGGTTGTACTGAATTAGTATTTTCCCAACTTTTTGAAAATAGATATTTCATACAGACCATTCACAGAGGCTAATTCTTTAATCACTTTCAACTTATTGATTCCTCAAATAAACCATAATTGAACAGTATCAGAACACCTATCAATGTATTAAAAGCAAAGGAAAGGCATTCAAAATCATTTGCCTTTCAAAAAAACAAAAAACAAAAAAAGACATGGTCTTGCTCTATAGCCCAGGTTAGAGTGCAGTGGTGTCGTCATCAAAGCTTGCTGCAGTCTTAAACTCCTGGGCTCAAGTGATTCTCCAGCCTCAGCCTCCTGAGTAGCTGGGACTATAGATATGTGCCGCCATTTTAGGCTAAATTTTTTAATTTTAGTACAGCCGGGTCCTCATTCTTGCTCATGCTGGTCTCAAACTCTCGGCTTGAAGTATTCTCCCACCTCAGCCTCCCAAAGTGCTAGGATTACAGGTGTGAGCCACAGCACCTGGCCTTGCCTTGTTTTTAAAATTAATTATTGATGTTACTTCCTACATACATCCTTAACTCTTTGAGCAGCTATTTCTGCAGAAGGACTAATAGTCTTAAACAATTTTTTTTTTTGTAGAGACAGAGTCTCACTATATCACCCTCGGTAGAGTGCCATGGCATTACACAGCTCACAGCAACTTCAAACTCCTGGGCTTAGGCGACTCTCTTGCCTCAGCCTCCCAGGTAGCTGGGACTACAGGTGCCCACCACAACGCCTGGCTATTTTTTTGTTGCAGTTTGGCTGGGGCCGGGTTTGAACCCACCATCCCTGGTATAGGGGGCTGGCGCCCTACCCACTGAGCCACAGGTGCTGCCTTAAACAAGTTTATATTCCCTGTACGTGTGTCCTCAGCTGCTGTAGTCAAACATGATTGAAAAACTCGATCAGCAAATGTCTTTCCTTGCTTGGCTAACAAATGAGCCACTTGGAATCTTTGGTTGTAGTCTCATTTTCATTTTTGTAAGAAAGTTTGCAGTGATGAGATACAGGCTCGTCCCCGATTGACATA